CTGTCTCTACAAATAATTTAAAAAATTAGCAAAATGTGGTGGCATGCACCTGTGGGCCTGGTTTTGCAAAGGAAATCTGCAAGAATTGATAGCTAAGGCCAGACACGGCAGCTCATGCCTATAAATCCCAGCACTTTGGGAGGCCGAGGAGGGCAAGACACTTGAGCCCAGGATTTTGAGACCAGCCTGGGCAATGCAGGGAGACCCCTATATCTACAAAAAAATAAAAAAATTAGCGAGTTCAGTTTTTTACTGAAATATAGTGCTTAATTTCCATTCTAGGTACTTAAAATCGTTTATGTTGCTATTGCCTCTCTAGTGCAATGATTAACTATATGTTCCTTTATTACTATGTTCATTTGTATTTTAAAAATCTGAGAAATTGAGAATGGTCTTAAGTCATGTGATTTAAATAACCAGCAAGAGAAGTCTCTGTATGTCTGTTTTTTCTGCAATATCAGATTAAAAGGAAGCTCAGTAACCACTGAACCTATCTCATTGAAGTAGACAGTAATCTAGCTTCTGCTTTAATATTCACAGTGCCAAGTATGTCAATTCAATGCAGCTTCTCCCGCTGTAGTTTTGTCCCATTGTTTTAGTTTTCATTATTAGAAAGTTTATCTCTATATAGTGCAGAAATCTGTTTTCCTGTAATTTGGGTCCACTTGGGGTAATGCTGCCCTCTCCTGCCAGACCAAATAATAAATTCACTCCCTCTTCCCATAAAATTATTTGAAGAGTTATTATAGTCCCCTGAGATTTCTGTTCTATGGGCAAAATTTCTTCAACCATACTTCAGATGACATGATTTAAATCTCCTCACAAACCTGGTCGATTTTCTTTGGTTTCACTGTAGTTTGTCCAGTAACAACTGGTGCCCAAAACTGAAGCAAAAACCAGTGAATTATCTCCTTTATATTGCTCTTGATGCCAGTAGAAACAGAGTTCTTAGTTGAATGCAACAAATCCTAGCTGCTTTAAGCATAGAAGAAATGTATTGAGAGCCTGTTATATTACATAGTTCAAGGAACAGCCAGTATGTCTAAAGAACCGAGCTCAGGAAAAAGTGCAGGAACCAAGAGAGGCGAGAAATTTATAGTATCAGCTAAAATCACACATCAAAACGAATCTGAAGAGGCCACCACTGCCAGACACTAGATACCATGATTTGTAACACTGCCATTGCTGCCTTTTGAAACTGGCTTTTGCTGTTCCCACTACTGTGGCCAGTATTCCACATTGTCCCTGCTATTTTGTTTTGTTTCGTTTGAGACAGGATCTTGCTCTGTCTCTCACATTGGAGTTGCAGTGGCGAGATAATGGCTCACCTCAACTTCTGCCTCCCTGGCTCAAGCGATTCCCCTACCTTAGCCTCTAGAGTAGCTGGGACCACAGGTACGCACCACTATGCCTGGCTAATTTTTTAATTTTTTGTAGAGACGGAGTCTCACATTGTTGTCACTTTGTTGGCTGACCTCGAACTCCAGGGCTCAAGAGATCCTCCTGCCTCAACCTCTCAAAGTGCTGAGATTACAGGCATGAGCACCACGCCAAGACTGATGTTTTAAAAGACTCACTTTGGTTTCTGCATGGTTTTGCAAGTCTGTCTCTAGATGCTAGATTTCTGCTCGCTCTTTGAATTTGAGAGAACCTATTTGAATGAAGGTAGAGAAGTTCAACTAAGAGAAGTGAAAGTTATGCAAGATCAAATTAATCAAATAACAAGCAATTTCAAGCAAAGCACAATGTCTTTCAAAGTTATCTCCTGGTCCCATCTCTACTATGGCTCAATTCTGAAACCTAAGGAGAAAGGAAATTCATTGATTATTTCCTTACTCCCTTTTCTTTGTTTTTATTTATTTATGTATTTATTTATTTAATTTATTTATTTATCTGAAACAGAGTCTGGCTCTGTCGCCCAGGCTGGAGTGTGGTGGTGCAATTTCAGTTCACTGTAATCTCTGCCTCCCGTGTTCAAGCAATTCTTCTGCCTCAGCTTCCCAAGCAGCTGGGATTACAGGCGTGCACCACCATGCACGGCTAATTTTTGTATTTTTAGTACAGTTGGGGTTTCACCATGTTGGCCAGTCTGGTCTGGAAGTCCTGACCTCAAGTGATCTGCCTGTCTTGGCCTCCCAAAGTGCTGGGACTACAGGTGTTAGCCACTAGACCGGCCTCCCTTTTCTTTATTTTTAATGTGTCTCTCTTTGCTAGCTCCTTTCTCATGACCTATAAGCATGTTTAATTTAATCTCTTCCATTTAAAAAAAAAACACACCCTATACTACCTTGTGTAAAGGTAGTAGTTACAGGCATGATTTTTAGAGCTGAACTGCATGGGTTTCAATGTAATTCCAACATTTACTAGCTCTGTGTCCTTGGGCAATTTTTTAAATGTCTTTGTGCCTTCTTTTCCTTGCCGGTAAAAGGAGATATTATTTCTCATGGGGTTATTGTGAAGACTAAATTATTGAATATTTGTAAAGCTCTCAGAACAAGGCCTGGCAGATAGTAAATGCTATATGTGTTTGTTTAAAAAAAATTAGTTATTTATCAGTTTATAGCCTGCTAGAAATCTGCAGAAGGTAAAAACCAGATCTCATAATTACTTCATTTAATGAATTAATCAGTTCTTAGCTCATTTGACCTTCCATCAACCCTTGACAAGATGGACCTGTCGGTTCCTCCTGGAGCTCTCCCTTAATAAATGAATACTTCTTTCCTGATTCTACCCATATCTCTCTGATATTTTCTACTCAATGTTCTTTTTAATTTTCTTGGGGTTCTATCTTTGATGCTTTTTCATTCTCACTTCATACCTGACAGAAAAATAAATCTGACAGAAAAAAAAGCCCCAAACCATTAGCATAATATATTATAAAAGTCACTCCATGATCTAATATCTGTTGATCTCTTTAGACTCATCTTTCAGTACCCACCACATGGAATTAACAGAACTTTCCACAGTGTGTTAGTAGTGCTACTTCCTCTGCCAAGAAATACCATTCCCACCCCTACAATTATTCCCTAATTTTTCAGGATTTAAATAATTTTTTCTTGATTCCTTAGGTGAATTTTCTCCTTTCAATCCCAAATACATTTTGTACATACCTACATCCTCAGAACCTAACACAGCAGGAGCTCAGTATTTGTTGACAGACTAAATTACAGCACCTAAATTAATATTTTGCAGGCATTTATTGTCTTCAGCCAATTGTATATGCATGGAGAAAAAGATTTATTAATCTTTAGGTCTTAGGTGTGAAGCATTTACTTAAATGCAATAAATAGTTAAATAATTTACATTTTTTAAAATCTCTTCAGACATTTATTTATGTTGTGGCTTCTGTAATAGCTTGAATATATTTTCAGCTTTGAAAATGTATTAATTTGATCTTTATTTCTACTGAAGAGCCAGTGACAAGATTTCTCTAACATTTTAAAACAGCGTTTGATTGAGCAGTATTAGGTGATAACAGGAACAATTACATTTTTCTTAAGAAATGTCATGGACACAACTTTAAGGCCCTCGAACAGCATGTGGCAGGTCGGGTATGGTGGGTCATGCCTGTAATCCCAACACTTTGGGAGGCCAAGGTGGGAGGATTGTTTGAGGCCAGGAGTTTAAGATCAGCTTGGCCAACATGGTGAGATCCCCATCTCTACAGCCCGAGAGGAGCCTGGGAGGTTAAGGCATGCCAACCTGGGCAACAGATCCAGGAAAGAAAGAAAAAAGAAAAGAAAGAAAGGAAGGAAGGAAGGAAAAAAGGAAGGAAGCTAGCAAGGAAGGAAGGAAGAAAGGAAGGAAGAAAGGAAGAAAGGGAAGGAAGAAAGAAAGAGGAAGGAAGGAAAAGAAATAGCCGGGTGCAGTGAGGGAGGGAGGCTGAGGCGGGTGGAAAAAAAGAAGTTAGGAAGAAGGAAGGGAGGGAGGGAGGGAGGAAGGAAGGAAGGAAGGGAGAGAAAGAGGGAAAGAAAAAAAAGAAAGGAAGGAAGGAAGGAAGGAAGGAAGGAAGGAAGGAAAGAAGGAAGGAAGGAAGGAAAGAAGGAAGGAAGGAAGGAAAAGAAATAGCCAGGTGTGGTGAGGGAGGGAGGCCGAGGTGGATGGAAAGAAAGAAAGTAGGAAGAAGAAAGAGAGGGAGGGAGGGAGGGAGGGAGGGAAAGTGTGGGCACGGTGGTATGAGGGTAGCCAAGACGGGTGGATCACTTGAGCCCAGGAGACCAGCCTGGCCAACATGGTGAAACTCCATCTCTACTAAAAATACAAAAATTAGCCAAGCGTGGTGGCACACTCCTGTTATCTCAGCTACTTGGGAGGCTGAGGTGGGAGAATCACTTGAATCTGAGAGGCAGAGGTTGCGGTGAATGGAGATGGCACCACTTCACTCCAGCCTGGGTGACAGAGAGAGATTGTCTCAGTAAAAAAAAAAAAAAAAAAAAAAAAAAAAAAAAAAAAAAGAATGAAAGAAGAAAGAAACAAAGAAAGAAAGAAAGAAAGAAAGAAAGAAAGAAAGAAAGAAAGAAAGAAAGAAAGAAAGAAAGAAAACAAAGCGTGTGGCATTGCAAGCCTGTGAATCCTCCCTATATGTAAATTTGGGCTCGCTCTTGGAATTTGAGAGAAGCAGAGCACCAGCCCATTAAGTCAAGAATATAAGGTTTTATTCCCCATGAATGCCAACAGCAAAGAGGAGAAATGGGTTCTAGGAACTGTGAAAGGCAAGGGTCGGAACACCACATACACTAGAAACTTGTAGCCAACTAGGTAGTGTTCTGGGTGGAGACAATATTTTTAGAAAGGGGTATGCAGTGGGAGATGGGCGGGTCTTTCCTTTTTTTTTTTTTTTTCTAGTGAGCCAAGCTCCTGATAGGAGACTTGGTGAGAGGTATACGCCAAGCTCCACCCCTTGAGGCTTAGCAACAGCAAAGGAAGAGGCTATGATTGGAGGATCAGGTTAGCCCACCGTGCTCCTCCCGCGCAGTGAGGGGGCGGTACACGCGCCTGAGCTCGGAGTGTGACGCCATGATACAGAGGAGATGGCTTCGTTTCAGCAGCTAACATTTCCTGAAAAAGTGTCGCCAAATCGTCCCAGTCGGAAAAAGGTTAACTTCCTAGATATGTCTCTAGGTATGTAGATCTCGGATCCCAGTCCCCATTAGTTTGGGCTCACTGGTCTTGAGCGCAAGACCTCGGCATACCGCTGACTAGAAGTGGCGTCGGGAGGAGCACACCGCTTGGAGGAGAGGCTTCCCCCTCAGGGCATCTCCGCACCTGCCCGGCCCCTATCCCTCCTCTCCTCTTCTTCTCCTCACCTCCAGCCCTCTCCTTTCAGGTGGGGAACTCTGAGGGAGGCTGACAAAAAGTGCGTGGGGATTAAGGATTGCTGAAAGGGGCAGGCGGAGAAAATAGACCATTTCCGTGTATTTTACTCTCCTAAGAATTGATACCTAATTACTAGCCTCCTTCAAACACATGGGGCCAAGTGCTCTTCTCAGTCCAAGCGGATGTCATAAATCACTAGATTCCAGGGCCCGGAGGAGCAAGCCTCAGGCTATTTTACTAGGGATTCCAGCGTGGTAGTGCCAAGAGTTGTTGGTGGGTTGGTGTATCTGCTTTGTTGGAAGGGGTGGTTGGTGCGTTTATTTGCTTGTTGGCTGGTGGTTATTCGCTCTGGATCGCTTTTCTTTGCAGGCACTCTCTAGTCTCTAACTTGAGACCTCCACACAGAGAGTGGAACCTTAGAAAAAATAAATCCTTTATCAATGCCCCTAACCTCCTCCATTCTCACCAAACCCAGAAAAAGTGAATTTTACCCGGACCAGTTCCTCTGCTATTATCCACCTTAGAAATGGGGAAGAGGGGAGGGAATAGATTTTCCAAGCCAGATAGGGAGTGAGCAGAGCTGAGTAGAGGATGGAAGCTGACTTTAGAAATGGAGAGGGGCATCAGAGCACGGAAGAAGGAAACTGTAGAAATGGGGGAAGGAGGACAAAACAGAAAAGGCCTACTTTATTTAGTTAGGTTTGTGTGTCTGTGTGTGAAACAGGGGCTTGCTCTGTTTCTCAAGCAGGTGTGCAGTGGCATCATCTTGGCTCACTGCAACCTCTACCCCCTGGCGTCAATCGATCGTCCCACCTCAGCCGCTCGAGTAGCTGGGACTACAGGCATGTGCCACCACACCCGTCTAGGTTGTTTTTTGTTTTTGTTTTTGTTTTTTTTGTATTAGTAGAACGAGGTTTCACCGTGTTGCCCAGACTGGTCTCCTGGTCTCAAGTGATCTGCCCCCCTCGGCCTCCCAAAGTCCTGCGATTACAGGCGTGAGCCACCGCCCCCAGCCTAGTTAGTTATTTTTGAGACAAGGTCAGGGACTGTTGTCTGGGCTGGAGTGTAGTGGCACGATCACGGCTCACTGTGGCCTCAAGCTCTCAGGCTCAATCAAGTGATCCTACCACCTCAGCCTCTAGAGGAACTGGAACCACAGGTGCTTGCCACCACACCTACCTAATTTTTAAATTATGGTAGAGATTGGGTCTCCTTATGTTGCCCAGGCAGGTCTCGAACTCCTGGCCTCAAACAATCCTCCCGGCTCAGCCTCCCAAAATGCTGGGATTGTGGGCCTGAGCCACCGCGCCTGGCCAGGGGCCACTTTAGAAATGAGAGAGGGAGAGGCAGAGCAGTGGGAGCTGAGCTTCAATGTGGAAGTGCAGGGGTGGAGCGAGGAGAAGCAGGAACAAGGAGGGCGGACCTTAGAAATGGATGGAAAGAGGGTTCACCTTAGAGATGAGGGTAGGGGAGCAGAGCAGGGAGGGCTGAACTTTAAAAGGGGCAGGATAAGTGGAGGGAGAGTGTACCATAGAAATGAAGAAGTTTGGCTGGGCTTGGTGGCTCATTCCTGTAATCCCAGCAGTTTGGGAGGCTGAGGTGGGCGGCTTACTTGAGGCCAGGAGTTCGAGACCAGCCTGGCCAACATGGTGAAACCCCATCTGTACTAAAAATACAAAAATTAGCTGGGCATGGTGTTGTGTGCCTGTAGTCCCAGCTATGTGGGAGGCTGAGGCAGGAGAATTGCTTGAACCCGGGAGGTGGAGGCTCCAGTGAGTTGAGATCGCGGCACTGCACTCCAGCCTGGGTGCCAGAGTGAGACTCCATCTCAAAAAAAAAAAAAAAAAAAAAAAAGTACTGAAATGAAGAGGGGCGCTGTGGCTCATGCCTGTAATCGCGGGAGGCAGAGGTTAGGCTGGTCTTGAACTCCTGACCTCAAGTGATACGCTTGCCTCGGCCTCACACAGTGCTGGGATTACAGGTGTGAGCCACCTCGCCCGGCCTAAACTTTCTTTATAGTGTCCTTTGAAGTCCTGAAGTTTCAGATTCTGATAAAATACAATTTATCTGTCTTTTGTTGTTGTTCATGCTTTGGAGTCATTTCTAGAAAATCATGAAGATATACCCTTGTTTCCTTCTGAGAGTTTTCTAGTTTTAACTCTTACATTTACATCTTTGATCCATTTTGAGTTCATTCTTGTATATGGGGTGAGTTAAGAGCCAACTTCATTATATTGCATTTTGATGTCTAATTGTTCCAGCACTACTTGTTAAAAAGACTAATTTTCCTCCATTGAAAGCTCTTCTTGGTGGAATTGCTTTCTTAATTTCATTTTTGGATAGTTAATTGCTGGTATATATAAATAGAATTAATTTTTGCATATAGATCTTGTATCCTGCAACCTTGCTGAGCGTGTTCATTAGTGCTAATCTCCGTGTGTGTGTGTGTGTGTGTGTGTGTGTATCTTTAGGAATTTCTACATACAAGATCATGATATCTGAGAACAGAGATAGTTTTACTTTTTTCTAATCTGCTTGTCTTTTGTTCTTTTTGACTAATTGCTCTGGATAGAATTTCTAGCAAAACGTTAATTAGATGTGGTGAGATTGGACATCTTTGACTTGTTTCTGATCTTAGGGAGAAAAGTTTTCCGTTTTTCACCATTAATCATTTTACCTTTGGTTGGGTTTTTGTAGATGCCCTTATGAGGTTGAGGAATTTACTTGCCTCCCACTTTATTTCTGAGGAGGAATGACCATGAAAAGTAACTAAGTATTTTTTGTTGTTGTGGTATTTAAGGTGTTTAAGCAATCTATTTCAAGACTGGTATCAATTTCCTCTTGTAAGACATGGTCCCTGTTGATCCCATACTGCTACTTTCGCCCATCTCAACTTCATCCAAGTTCTGAAATATTTTGTGGCATTAAAATGACTTTAAAAATAATATTTGGTCACTGGCCAGGGCTGGGTTAAGGCGAGGTAAATGAGGCACTTGCTTCAAGTATAAAGTTCAACGAGTCACAAAAAAAAATTAGTTAATAGGGATAATTAATATTTTAATGAAATATTTAAAAAATTAAATGGACAAACTACAGCCATCTTTCTGGCCACCTGTTTTTGTAAATAAAGTTTTCTTCACTTAAGAACTAGGGTGAAGCAAGTGAAGGAGGGCTGTGCAAGTACAGGGTCTGATCTGATCTTTTTTTTTTAATGGAATCTCACTCTGTCACCGAGGCTGGAGTGCAGTGGCATGATCACAGCTCACTGCAGCCTCGACTTCCTGGGCTTAGGCAGTCCTCCCACCTCAGCCTCCCAAGTAGCTGGGATACAGGCGTGTGCCACCACGCCCAGCTAATGTTTTTGTAGTTTTGTAGAGACAGGTTCTCCCTATATTGCCTAGACTGGTCTTGACTTCTGGGCTCCAGCGATTCACCCACCTTGACCTCCCAAAGTGCTAGGATTACAGGTGTGAGCCACCACGTCCAGCCTTTGATCCTATCTTTTCAAAAAAAAGTTTGATATTTTGTTCGTCACGGATTGGTTTTGCATTGATTTTTATTTTTGAAAATATTGTGAGGCTGGGCTCGGTGGCTCACGCCTATAATCCCAGCTCTTTGGGAGGCTGAGGCAGGTGGATGACCTGAGGTCAGGAGTTCGAGACCACCCTGGCCAATGTGGTGAAATCCTGTCTCTACTAGAAATACAAAAATTAGCCGGGCGTGGTGGTGGGTGCCTGTAGTCCCAGCTACTCGGGAGGCTGAGACAGGAGAATTGCTTGAACCCGGGAGGCCGAGGTTGCAGTGAGCCGAGATCGCGCCACTGCACTCCAGCATGGGTTACAGAACTAGACTCTGTCTCAAAAAAAAAAAGAAAGAAAGAAAATATTGTGTTAAGATATTTCAATCTTGATTACTGAGTTTTGGGGGGCCTCCTTGAATTTTGTGCCTGAAGTGAATTCCTCACTTACCTCACTCTAGGTCCTGCCTTGTCACTGGGACCTTGAAGGAAGAAGAACCCAGAACTGAAGGAAATTTATAGCACTGAGTTAAAACTTCATGCTTCCTGCACTTTTCTTTGTGTTGATTTCACTGACATTTTTGCAACTGCTAACAGAAAAGAAAAAACAAAACTGATAAATAGCTAAAGCAATGGGTTTATCTCAAAATTCAGGGAAATAAGGGCCATAGTTGCAGAGTGGCTTGGTCCCAAAAATGCAGTCGTTGTGTGACCTTGTGCAAGTTGCTCCATCTCTTGGGGCCTGAGTTTCCTGATCTGAATAAAATCTACATCATAGAGTTGTTGAAGATTAAATGAGATAATACAGGTAATGTTCACAAAGTATGCTGCCTGACGTGGATAAAGCTGAGTAAATATTTGCTATATGTGCCCCGGAAAGTGGGCCTAAACCCTCACTTTTGCGTAGCCAGCAATTTGGCAAGCTGGAGAAGTTACCTCTCCTCTCAGGATTTTGTTATCAAACTTCAGAGATGCAGTAGTCATGAAAGAGATTAAAAACCATCCAGGTGAAAGATGGGGTTTAAACAGCTCGCCTAAGTCTCTGGGAGACTGAGAGAGGAGGTGGTGTCGTGTAACTTGAATAATAGTGAAGTAAACAGACTTAGGAGGCACTTATATTTTAGTAGACGATTACAGCTGGAAGGATACTGGAGAGTCTGCTTTGGGAAAGATTAGTTCAGTTATTTGAAAGGCTGAGGAAAGATGTTGAGTTGAATTTGGTAGGTTAGCTGGAGATTAAGTATAACTGTAAGACCTCATAGTCACTGAGTTGTTAAAAATCTTGAAG